GAGAGAGAGAGAGAGAGAGAGAGAGAGAGAGAGAGAGAGAGAGAGAGAGAGAGAGAGAGAGAATGGCAAAATTGAAATATGGGTCGAATTGCGGCCGCAATCTATTTTGCAGTTGGAATATTTTTTGTTAATTTATGTAGCGTTTCTCCTGGAAAGATCACAACAAAATCTACGAGTACTCCAATTTTCAGGTTTTTTCACTCATTCTTCTGAGTGTGAAAACTCACTGAATTTGGAGTACTTTTTTAGTTGGCCCAGGCATGGCTGAGTGGCAAAAATGGAACATGTGCCGAATCGGCGCCAGGATTATTTCGCAGTGTAAATTATTTTTTTGTAAATGTTCTATTATTATTTCTGGAAAGAACACGACCTCATCTATGAATTCTCAAAATTTCAGATTGTCTTGTTTTCTTGGCGGGCGTCAGGAACTTGTGAGGGAGCCAGCTTAACTAGATAAGGGAGGCAGATCCCGCTCTCCAGAAGGATTACTGTATTTCTTAGTCGGGACTCTGGACCAGTTTCCCAGCAGTTATATTGTATGTCCTGGGATGGCTGGGCCCGCGTTTTCTCCAGCAGGTGGTGCTCCCCACCAAAAGACGGGCGCTTTCTTTTCAAAACAAGACACACACACACACAGAGACAGAGAGAGAGAGACGCCCATTCCCTGTCCCAGCTGCTCGCGAGTCCCCAATGATCGACAAACTCCGGGAGTGGCAGGACAGCTTCCTACAGCATCAGTACACAGGAAAATTCATCAGAAATTCTGCCGAAATTTGCATCAAAGCTCAGGTCGCACAGGTCACACACACGCAAATCTGCCTCAGGTAAGCACCCGCCTGCTCTCACCGCCTCTCAATGGACCTAGTTGCACCACTCGCCATCCGCCAACATCTGGACAATCTGTCCGTATGCATTTGAAATCTTGGCGGATGGCGAGTGGTGCGACTAGGCCCAATGCTTCTCGCTGCGTAGTGTCTTTCTGAAAGCACTATTTTCTTGTCTTTGAGCTTACAAGATCACCCAGTCGGTCATCCGGCGAGAAAGTACTATGTGTCTGCCAGCTGTCTCTCTCTGCTCTCTTTCTCCTCCTCCTCATATCTTCTCTCTCTCACCCCCTCCACCTTCCCCTTCCTCACCCTCTCACTCGCTCCCGCGAGGAGTTCGTTTAATTACGGTATTATGCCCGTAGGCACCGGCCGACCTTTCTCTCCTCTTCCGAATTGTTGTCAGACCGCATGTACACAAGAGCTACGCAGGCAATGCTTAGAGTATTGCCACCTCAGCACTCCTTTCGTGCTGTTTTACCGCCTCCGACATCATATGATATGATATCATCGTTTTTCAAACGTCAGCAATCTCAACCACACGATAAGTCTGCTTCACCGACGGCCATCTTCTTTCTTCTGCATCCAGCATTGCAATGAGAGAGGAAGGCGTGTCAAAGTGTGGTGTCTGTGGATTGAGCACGACCAACCATCCTCCTTGGTTCTTCCCTCTGCCTGGACTGGGGGGAAGCACCATGATGTCTACCGTCTTCCGCCGAACACAACGCGCCCTGATCATGAACGCACACAAGCTATCTTCCCGGTCCGATAGAGCGATGATGAGGGGTCGTTGTGTTCGGGGGAAGACGGTAGGTCACCGCTGGAAAGCTCCTCCGCCCAACGCCCCAACTCGCTCACCACCCGGCGTCTTGAACCCTACCCGTCTTCCCCCGAATAGAACGTAACGGTCATTATAGCTGTTTTGCGGGAAACTTGCAGTCTTGATACAGGGCTAATGACCGTACATTCTATTCGGGGGACGAACCCTACCGTACAACTGCCGGGGCGCGCAGCGCATTGAGCGCTTCGGCGCCGCCGCTGGGCCATGGCGCCATTAGGAAACTGAGAACCTTCACGTACAACTGCGGGCGCGCAACGCATTGAGCACTTCGGCGCCGCGACAACACGCCAGTCTGCCGCCGCTCCCCACCCGGTAGTCCCCATGATTGAATTCATGGGCTCAATTTTTTTTTCATCTCGCACAGCAGGAGACCTTGTCCAACAACCCACAGTTGTATTCCATTGTAGCGCGGCCTCCGGGCTGCGACCCACGTTTAATAACAACGTGTATAACCCCGCTTATGTGGCCAAATGGTACACACAGGCAACAGTCTGTAAGCATTTCATCGGTTCGACTCTTGAGTCTGCATCACAAGGATACAATAAGGTTAGGAGAGCTTTATACATAAATTAAATTATGGGTCAACGCGCGTGTCACATCGGATGCCGTGTCCCTCGCTGAGAACGGATGAGTGGAAGAGACACTACCATAGCGCTTCGCATTCACTGTTTTCTGGAGCGGCGAATCCTCGGACTAGTGGCGTACCGCGGCGGCGAATAGTAATGGCAATTCACTACCCCATAGCGAAAGGCCAGACGGAGTAGTGATGGCGGGCGGCGCGCAGCGATGCGGCGAGGGGGGGGAGGGGGGGAATGTTTTGACGGACTGGACAGGGGGTCAGGCGGCCACTGCTACTCTGATCCTGGCATGGGCGCTTACGGTCGGCGCCATGGGGGCAGCTCTCGCATTGCTGTCTTATTACTGGTGCTATCCCCGCAAGCTGCTGCTGCTCTCCCTCCTTTTCTCACCCAGGTCCAAGAAACGCAATCGCGTTATCGGGATAATTCCCGCTCGGTACATGTCGACACGTTTCGAGGGCAAACCTCTGGCAATGATTCTCGGGAAGCCGATGATTCAAAGAACATACGAGCAGGCAAAGCGCGCCAAGTGTCTGGATGATCTGGTTGTCGCGACTGACGACTCGAGGATTGCACTTTGCTGCAAGGCGTTCGGCGCCGACGTGGTTTTGACCTCGTCAAACTGTGCAAATGGGACAGAACGCTGCAATGAAGCCCTAAAAAAGCTGCATAAGAGGTATGATATCGTTGTAAACATACAAGGGGACGAGCCCCTGATGGAGCCAGAGATCATTGATGGGGTCGTTAAGGCACTGCAGAATGCACCGGATGCTATCTACAGCACAGCTGTGTCGCCGCTACAGCCCAAGGATGCCCATGACCGGAACCGAGTTAAGTGCATCGTTGATCGCAATGGCTATGCAATCTACTTCTCCAGGGCCCTGATTCCGCACAGCAAGACCGGCACGGCCAGCTGCACCTTCCCTTACCTTCTCCATCTGGGTTTGCAGTGCTACGATGCAGACTTTCTCGACGTGTACTGCCAGCTGAAGCCCACCCCTCTGCAGATGGAAGAGGACCTGGAGCAGCTGAAAGTTGTCGAGAACGGTTACAAAATAAAGGTGATCACGGTGCACCATGACGCGCACGGCGTCGACAGCCCAGGCGACGTGGCAAGCATCGAGGAGATCATGCACAGAAAAGGCATTTCATGACACATTGGCGTGCGCCGAAAGAGGGACATCATGAACGAATGGAATAGTGCTCTCGCTTGTGCAGAGAACGAGACCGATTTTTGGCTGTATCCTCAGAAATCGTGTTTCACAATTCGCCATGATGAAGGGAAGAGTAGTGCTCGTTTGTGAAGAGAACGAGACCGAATCTGACCGATTTGGGGGCGAGAGAGAGGGAGTTAGAGAGAGAGAGAGAGAGAGAGAGAGAGAGAGAGAGAGAGAGAGAGAGAGAGAGAGAGAGAGAGAGAGAGAGAGAGAGAGAGAAGAGTTTCAATTTTGTTTTGCAATGCGGGAGTCGCTGCCACTGGCAGTTTTTCATTCCATAGGGGTGTGGATGGGATGGTAGTTGAGAGACGGGAGCAGGAGTCGGAACAGAGAGAGACGATGGATAACCCGGCAGAGGACGGTGAGAAACAGAAAAGAAAAACAATAGGTAGGTGGTAACACTGATTTCGTGGCTGCTCTTACACGTATCCCTCATCCGAATGTAGACACAATCATCGGTAGCATGCATGCAACCATCGTACAAGTCGCTCTGCTCTCCCAGTCCAGTTGTACATCTACGGATTGTCTTACCTCTGCACAGTTTGCTTCTTGCATAATCCGTTCAGTCCGTATCGTAAATACCCACGTATTATTCTTGCGAATGAACGTAGACCCGATATCATCACTATCCGTCGGATTGTCATGCACTCGATGATAGCGGAACCTATAGAAGACTAACACCCACCATAAGCCCTCACGAGTAACAGAGTGAGGTTTCCGCGCAGGTAAGGGTGACAAACACCAGCCCGCAGTAACGGAGTAAGGCGAATAGACAGATGGCAGATGAGAGAGAGAGAGAGAGAGAGAGAGAGAGAGAGAGAGAGAGAGAGAGAGAGAGAGAATAGAAAAGACAGCAAGGAACAGCAGCCAGAACCACAGGCGTCGATCGTGAGAAAAAGCGACAGGCAGGAGCCCGAGGTAGATCACAGAGTGAAGCAGTGCGGGAGCAGCAACATCACAACGAGTACAATAGGCGCAAAGGGGAGGGAGGAGGCGGAAGGAGTAAGCGGCCCAGACCGCGGGGAGATAGCAGTGTGTCCCGGATTTTAAAGCACGGTCAGAGAGAGGCAATGGATTTTTAAGCACGGTCAGAGAGAGGCAATGGGTTTCTAAGCACGGTCAGAGAGAGGCATTCATTGCCTTCACGGCCATGTCAAGTAGTGTTTTATGGCGCATCTATGCCAGCGAACAACAGTCTGACGATTCAACAAAATCCTTTTTGGTAAAGTTTCTCTTTTTTTTTGCGGGGGAGGCAGTTTTGTACGCTCGCCTCCCAGAATGGCTTATATGGCTGCCTGCCCCCTTCTTACAGTATTTCCTCTGCCTGCCCCCCTTCTTACAGTATTTCCTCTGCCTGCCCCCTTCTTACAGTATTTCCTTTCATTTCAAAAATCTCCAATCGTCTGCCATCTTCCAATTGTTATTATTGTACTCGGAAATATATAGTACAACGATGATTCCATTTCATGTGCTGCTCGCCAGTGATGCAGTTTTTTATCCAGGGCAAAACAGAACAGCCCTGTCACCACTTCTGGACTGTGGTTGCATGGCACACTCTGCCCGCAGTTTGTTTTTTTTCTGAGGATAACGGTCACTGCGGGCGGATAGGCTCTGCATATGTCTGTACTGTGTATGTTCATAAGAAGATCATTTCCTTAACAAGTCGACAAAATCAAGCATATATACTACACAATCAAATGACACTTTCTGTTGCATCATAGCACTCGATTGCACAGAATTGGATTTGAAATCCCGAAATCATATTTATATTTAAACCATCGTGCAGCAACCACCCACCAGGCCAGCTGCTCACTTTGCCTGCGGTGACACTGGCGAGTCCGCAGAATCCATGGTGAGGTCAGGGTTTGGTTTCGGACGTACGAGGGGAGGCCACGTTGCGCAAGAGGAGGGAGCGCACGAGGAGGGAAGCACTTCGATTAGTTGGTCGCGTAAGCGCACAAAGGCTTTCGCAAATGATGATACTATGTCCTTGCTACGTAGCAATAAATCTGGTCGAGGAATTGGATAATGTCGTGCTAAATTAGTCGATCGAGCCGGCCAGGTCTGCTGGGCCTTGGAAGCTCTCGCTACACCGTAGATGCTGGTCCGACCAGGTCCTTGCCTATTTAGGGTAATACTAATCGTGGCTCCAGGTCCTTGCCTATTTAGGGTAATAATCGTGGCTCCGTGGAACGTACGTGAGGGTTCCAATCCAATCTTGAAGGTACGTGATGATACTGGTTTTTTTTTTTTTTTTTTTNTTTTTTTTTTTTTTTTTTTTTTTTTTTTTTTTTTTTTTTTTTTTTTTTTTTTTTTCCATCCACTTTTACTACAAGTTTGCAGGCTGGTTACATCGTAATATGGTGTGGGCCTCGCCACACCAATTCCGAAATGAAAAACAATGCGAGTGCATATTCCCGCAGAAGGTGGCTGGATTCGTCCATTACTATTTTATAGTAACGGATGCTTTTTCCCAACTTCTGCGGGAAGATGCATTCGCATTGTTTTTCGTTTCGTGAGTGGTATGGCCAGGCACTGTAGCTTTACAAGTAATCCGTGTTCCATTATCCACCTGGACGGTCGAGCGCTCTGGCCACACTACACGCCATTCTTCACTAGCTGAGCACGAATAAGCTTGGTTTTCAGACCAGAATCGCGCTGAGTTGTACTACGTCGAGCATAAACAGACAAGAAGACCTTTAAGTTTCACCCGCTTGGTATGGAGCCATTTATAGAAGTGGCGCGATCTCAAGACTTCTTGAATCGCCTTTTCCCCACAGATCATGAGTCATGCATCTGCTCACAGGAACAGCCGACCCCTCAATCAAGGCAGAGATCACACAAACAGAAAAAAAAGCCAAACAAGAAATGCAAAAGATGGAGGACACGCCCGATATCTTTGCGTGGCGGCGACGAACACCTCTCTCTCTCTCTCTCTCTCTCTCTCTCTCTCTCTCTCTCTCTCTCTCTCTCTCACACACACACACACACACACACACACACACACGCACAAACACAAATAGATACGCACAAAATTGACTGTATGTGCCTCTATGAGGAGAAGGCAGCAGTGGGCAGGAGTGAGCGATATTGCGCAAGACCTCTCTCAAGCGTCCAACTGGTTTTATGAATGTTTTTTTTTGGCCGGGGAAGTATGCACGTGCGGCATTTTCATGACCGACATGCTCTTACACTGTCCTCTCCACCATGCACACAGAAGATCGCCGAGTGCAGCAGGACTGCATTAGGGCGTATTCGCTCCCAAACAGAACACATATAATGACAGATCGTAGGACCATAAAAACACGCAACCACGGTCAAATTCATTCGGCAGACTAGAAAGACTAAAGCACTTGTCGTGATGCAAGTACGCGAGATCCCGCAGATTCCGATCAAACTATCACAGCCCGGACCACGTTTTTCGGCCTCGCTTCACCACTCGCTGGATTGGCAATTTGGCCAGCGTAAATTCGTTGGCAAGCCACACTCGCCAGTCTTTTCAAATTTGAAGAGTGGTAGAAAGCTGGGCGCGGAACTCTTTTCTGATGGTCCTTGAAGAGTGGTAGAAAGCCACACTCGCCAGAAAGTCGTGGGACAACCGATGTCCCGGTGCGGAACTCTTTTCTGATGGTCCTTGTGTTGTATAGCATAGAAGGGAGAGGCGTAGGGGGGAGCTGGTTTTTGAAGGATGTTT